AGGTTAGCCGTTGGTTTACTTGACTTTGGAACGAACCACAAGAGCTTACACGAGAGGTCAGCCGTTGGTTACTTGACTTTGAAGCAAACCACAAGAGCTTTCACGAGAGGTTAGCCGTTGGTTTAAGTCACATTTAGTCAAACATTTCCAACTGCAATCCTAGAGCTTTCACGAGAGGTTAGCCGTGGATCATTTAAACTACCTTGCAGTTTGAAACTTAAAATCAGTTCGCTTTGCCTCAGAAGAACATGAAGCCATTCCAGTTGAAGCCACTCACCATGGCATAGCACCGAAGCCGATTAATATGAGTTGGAAACTACTCCTATGGTCTCACTCCAGTCAGTAAATATACTCCGGAGTGATTGCTACCTATGTTTATCGGAAATGGGACATTTCCTTAGCCAGCTATTCCATAGTGTTGCATGTTTGACAAAGCCATTCTTATCAAATGATCACACTTATTTTCCCTTTTTCATAATTATTATAACCTAATTCCTCCCAATGTCTCAAATAAATGAGGAGGGGAGGAGGCTCCACTAAATAAGTAAAGATGGGATTGAGTGAGACGATAGGATTGTGAATATCAAAAGATCCTAGGAGCAGTTACTGTTCACAAATTAATTAACAAACCTATTAAGGATTTTAAGGATACAGCCAGACTGTTATGTAAATTAATAACATGTGCCCCTGAATGAAGATGTGGAGAAGATCAGAACATAAATAGGTGTTCTAGCTATATAAACATTATTAAATACTTCTTATTCTATCTAAATTAAATGCTTCAAGACAAGTTTAGTGCAAGTAAAGCTATCAGAGAGTCTAAACTTGAATTGGAGAACATCCAAGAAAACCTTTTAGACTACCAACTTCATGCCAACCACATCCACAAATACTGTGTGATGTACAAACAAAAAGTGTGTGTGTGTGTGAGCAAAATCCCAAACTAAAGCGAACTACACATGATTACAAGAAAATCAACAAGACCGATGCATCCTCTACAGAATTACTAATTCAACCCACAGCACTGAGGTCCGGATCATCGCTAGTACAGGTAGATCACATTACCTTTCTGAACAATAGAGTTCTGCTTTAAGTTTCCCAAACATACTTAGTTGGATTAATAGGTATAAATTACCATCACTGATATTCCTGTTCAGACAAATATACCACAAAATACCCACATAGGTGTAAAAGCAAAATAATTTGACTTCTGAAGAAAAATTGTTAAAGCTAAGGTGCTGTAGTACCATATATGTAGATAACTGACTAAGTGATTACTTGCCAGTTTATCTTCACATTCCAGAACCATAATTATGTTACTATTAAACTGTCAAACACTGCGAGGACACTGGTGACCGCGGCCTATTGTTCTTTGATTGTGTCTATAATGACGGTACTCAAAGGGTTAAAGTTTCTTACTGAAAAGGGTGATTCTTTCAGTATTTAGGATTAATTTCATACTCTAGACAACTCTATATAAGTACTACTTAAAAAGGTGGATTTTATTACAAGTATAATGAAAATTGTATGACCTAAACAAAAAGTTGCAGATTTTGATTCCGTTCAACTTTAAAGTTAACATTGTTTGCTCGCCCAGCTATGGAATTTGGCTGGCTCCATATTAAAATTAGGTTAATAATTGAAATTGTAAGTCTAATATTATAACTATTAAGCGAATAATAGTTATATAAACGCACAACAAAATATTCACTGTAAACAATATTTACGTTTGATTGACATGTTGACATTAAAACATCAGATGTCAAATATGTCTGGTTTTACCAAAAAGAACTTGAACACTTGTTATTTAAGTTAATCTAGAATAAATGTTTACACCGTAAAAGAAAATACTTAAATAAACTCAGATGTTCTATACGCACGAGTTTAAATTAAAGTTTGCCTCCAAAACCACTTGGTGTATCACGCAAAAGATCTATAGGCAAACAAGTATAAGAGGCTGAAATATAAATATGTATCATAGCTCCCTGACCCTGATATCCTTACTGTTGCTTTCACTATTCAGTAAGTGCAGGAAGATTCTTTTGCCATGCCCTCCTTCTTTTCGGAATTTTAAAAGTCATAGAGATAAAGGAGGGGGGGGTATATGCAAAGGTTATTAGGATCCATTATTGATACCTACGGTTCAACTCAAGTTTCTGAACCTCATTATGTTCTAGTGTTATCTCTGGTTGTTTCCTTCCAGGAGTTCACCCACTTTACACAACATATACAATGTAATTGCCACCATATAATCAGGAATGAATTCCTAAGAAAAGGAATAGGTACTGCATTCTATGGGAATAATGCTAGCATCTCATTGTAAAGTAAAACAAAACAACAATACTAATTTACTTTGACTTTTTCAGCATATGTATCCGTTGTGATTATTATATTTTTACTTCCAAATTTACCTATCATACAGTTTATTGAATTAGATAGGTACTTCATTAGTCCTCTTGGTCCTCTTGTGTGAAATGATTAAGAAATTACCTATAAGATTTTTTAGAAGTTTATACAAATTATTTAAGGCCAAAAAGAAAAAGAAACTTTAATATGTGGTGTGCGGTTCCAGTTTCATTCTAAAATAGGTACATAATTGTGTATTATTGCAATTATTATTTAAAACCCTGAGGGTTGCTGGCAGAATATGCCATTTGGAATCAAGTTCACCATGTACCATTACTTTATTGTATTGTGTACATGAAAATCTAAATAAATCAATATTATTATGTACCTGTACTCCAATGATAATCTTAGCTTAAAACTTTAGTTTAAAACTATCAATTAATTAGCACATGTAATTCACACTCTATCTCTATCACTATAGATAACATGAATGTACCTAAATGATAATCCCAATGAGCCTGAACCATATTTAATAGTACCTACCTACTATTTTTTATTTTTAAGAACAATTTTTTAAATCATTGTTCTGGGATCAATCATATTCTACAATTTCAAGTGAATGCATGTCTAGTACTATGACAGTGGACTCTCAACCTCTTCTAAAGCCTCACAGAGATGTATCAGTATCAAAGTCATATATTTAAGTAAGATGACTGCCTGGTCATTCAATCCATTTTCCACCAACAATCCTAATATTGCATGAGCTTATTAGCTCTGTATATCACTATCTATGATTCATGATCATAATGTAGATCTACTGAATGGAAGAGTTAAAAAAAAGATAATTTTCAAGAAAACAACCTATTGAAAGACGTTAAATTTTCTGATTCAATTTTAACGTTATAGTTCAAAACGTACATAGTAGGTGTACCTATAGTAGGTGTAGTGGACACCAGAATTTCAAGATAATAATATTGTTGCTATGCTTACTAAATAATGAAATTAATAAATAAGAAATTTAATTATTTTTCCATTACAATACATAATGATGTAGATCTTAATATCAATCTTATAATATTGACATAAGCTTGTTTCTTCACTTCACTTCACTTTGGTTCTACATAGGGTTTAATGCAGTTTACCTGACAATGCAATAATGAAAGTCAGGAACCCAAACTAAGATAACCCGTGCTTTGGGCTCCTGTTTATTTTTAATACTATTTTTAAATGTATTTAATTTTAGAAGTATTTTTATTTGATAAAAATGATTGAAAACAATACCATAACCATAAGTAGCTATTATATCTAATAATGGTTTAGTGGCTTACATCTTGGGGAAATTATAAACAAAAATTTGATTATTGCTTAAGTTTTTACTAGTACTATATAGTACTCGTGAGATATTGATGTTATTGACAATTTCATGTCTTGTTTAAGTGCAACAATGTTCAATGATTAAACAGTGTTGTTTGTCAACACAACTCCTTCTTTGAACGTCTACTAGTATAATTAGCGAGGATGACGCTACCTATACAATTAAATAGATCGGACTAACTTACCTGTGACGTCCGATCCTCAATTGTGTAGGTAGCGTCATCCTCGCTAGGTCCCAACCCTTCCCGGATAATAAACATGTTTATTTTTACCCCTGGTCGAGTTGTGTTGCATTTGCAGGTATGCTTTGAAGTAAATGATGTTGCCAGTGAGATGACCATAGAGTATAAATATTTTTTTATGAATGTGTTCATCTTTAAATATTGTGACAGCGTGCCCAGGGTGCTTACTCTTGAAACAAATCTCAATGTCAATGCAATTTCAATCCAATAAAATCTCAATAATTATTCTATGTCAAAACTATACAACCACAATTGTAGCTGTTACAATAGCATTCCGAGTATGGAATATAAAGCCAAACTCAATACCATTTAGTTCATTCAATATCCACGCAATACGGATGCAATGGGCGCTAGTGTTGCAACTCAAGAGTACGAAATTTCACAATACCAATGTCGATCGATCGGAGTTGGATTCAAGAGTAAGCCACCAGATTAGTGCCTACTACTAGTATAATTAGCGAGGATGACGCTACCTACACAATTGAGGATCGGACGTCACAGGTAAGTTAGTCCGATCTATTTAATTGTAATTGTCATTTTCGTAATAAGTATTGCATGCTAAATGGCAGAATGTAAGAGAGTAAGAGAAACAATTTGAATTTGAATTTGAATTTGAAATTTAAAAAATTATATATATGAATTTGAAATTTCAAAATTGTGAATTTGAATTTGAAAAACGTGCGTTGTTTGTGGAATCTCCGTAGTGGGATCTTATTCTCGATATCGGATTATTCCGAATTCAATATCGAATCGATTTCGGTATATATTTCAGGATGGAATTTTATCAAATTGGTTCTATGTTTGAAAGCAATGTTGTGAAGTCTTCATTGTTTCTCCTTAAACCTAAGCTGCAATATTTTTTTTATTTGTTGACGAATGTGTATACGTGTTATGACCACATGAATACCATTCCCAACGTCAATCACTGAAACTGCCTAGCGCGGACTAAACGCAATAGGACACAAAACGGCGACTATCCCTGTTTGCACTAAGGAAATGCACCCAAGGATAGGCCCCGGTTAGTGTAAAATAAAAACATTATGGTACTGAATCAACAATCTTCATATTAATCCTGGTGAGTGGGTTGCCCTTGTAAGTTTCGACAAATAATTGCAATAACCTTGGGAAAATACATTCTCCATATGCCACTATCTGATAAAATCCTGTAAAAAAAATACTAAAAAATTAAACTATGTTTAAAAAACCAACGTCAAACCATAAACTAAAAAGGGGTAGGCGCTGAGTATAATAATTAAAAATTATTTTTAGATTTTTAGTTTTTGAAGTCGGTTTTTTAAACATAGTTTTATTTTTATTGGTTACTTTTCAGTTTAATAGGTATATGAGAATAAGGAGAGTGAAAATTTAATGCAAGTAAATGAAATTGAACCACATCCATTTCTCATGCGCATTTTTCTATCTAAAACTGAACCTTAATGATTTTTACCTGCTATAATCAGGTCAACATTGTACAGTGGCATTAAGTGTCGTAGGTAATGTGCACCTCGGCCAACCCCTTCGGGGATAAAAGGCGTGATGTTGTAATGTTAATCAGGTCAACTTAATAGCCTCAAAGAACATTATTCCCGGCTATATGTTGGTATAATTTTGAAAGAATTTTCATTTATCCGTTGAACATTTTTATCTTCCATCATCAGCTCATTGACTTGAAATGATGATCATCAGACCGAAAGGTATATGGATGCGAGAGGTATATCCCGCTTAATTTTATTGACTTGGCTTACACTGACATACCTATACATTTCAGAAGAATGCCTAAGTCACAATTGTTCTGCAAATATTTTGAATACTTATTATTCGAAATCCACAAGACACTCACTGGCAAGGAGCAAGTATGTATGGTACTTGCTCCTTGCCAGTGAATGTAGCAATTGCAATAAAATTGTGTCAATAAATGGCAACGGCCCGCAGCGGCGGGTTGTCAGCGCGCGGACTCGTGCTTACAGCTTTTTGTATTGACATTTTGAAATGTATAAAATATAATAGGATATAAGATTTAACGTTCGAAATTCAATAGCAAGCCTGTGTTGAAGCCACAGGTTGAAGCGATGCCATTAATGTATGCCATGATCATTATAATTGGTAAGCTAGTTGAAATAAGGTTATAACTTTAACAGCGGTCTTGGCAGAGTGGCTGAACTTTGAACAGAATGCAACGACATGTCATAGACTGCCGTGGTACGAGGTGCCGTGCCATGCCGGCAGTTAGCGCTTGCTTGAGAAATCATTAGTGGTAGCTTTACCTATAAACCCTTCGTCCCATATGTCACTGTTGGTTACATAATAATGTTTTTTTTTAATAACAGATAGTTTGGTTTACATTAAGTAGGTACCTCACACTAACAGTTTGCTACGGGAAGAAAACGATTATAGATTTAATGATGCATTGTACATTTAAGGGGGAGTCCTTTGTCCAAAAGTGCACATCTTTCGACTGTTGATGATGATGATGATGGCGTACAAAGTATGCCAAATACAGATTTTATTTTCTAGATAAATACCACCTCCAGTGTTTAATTTAAAAAAGACTCACGTAGTCCGATCCTGCAGTTTTCCAAATAGGCATCGCAGTAGGTTTCAAAAGTAGTATATCGATTCGGATAAATAATGCTTTGTTTATTATATACGCAAACCGGTGTTGGTGCCTCTCTGAAAATATATTTATATTATCTTATGATTATCTGTATCTCTTTCTAATATTATAAATGCAAAAATTTGTGAGTCTGTGTGCGTTGAGTCGATCTCGTCAAAACGGCTGTAGAACGTAGAATATAATCTGGAATATAGGTAGACTGCTTCGTCACGTGACCGCGGGCAAAGCCGCTGGCAGAAGCTAGTTTCTTTTTGTATTTATTTTAAATATATACTATAATATACTATACTATAATATATAATAGAATAACCACAGAAGCACAACTTGGTGAAACAACTCATTGAAATGATGTCTCTTTTACTAAGCAACAATGTGCAATTTAGCTCGTTCACGCGCTCAGTACCTATCGAATTCAGTTGCAGCTCTCTGTTAATGCTTAACTTTGTCGCTGCCTGTCACAGTAATAAAAGGTATATAGCCTAATAGATATTTATAACATTACGTATTTAGTTCAATCGGTATTTCATAATTAGGTCTATTGAATTAAGGGATATCGAATGTAGGTGTGTCCAGAGTTTTAGATAGGTATTTAGAATTTAAGGATTTCGAACGTAGGTAAGTTGTCATTAGATATATTGATTTTCGGTATTTTGATACATACCCCCAAAACTACTGGCCCTAAGACGCTGAAACTCGGTATGTAGGTGCATACCTACATAAGACACGGTACGTTAAGGGACATCCCTCACGGAGTGTAGAGGAGTACTTCTAAGAGAGGATTTCTCTAAATTCGCCCAGGAATGGTTAAAATGGGAATCATCTACTTGTGCGTACGAAGTCGCTTGAAAAAAGTTAGTTATTATTTATAAATCATTTATCAACTTACAAACTATATGTGCACTTGATATATTGATCGACACAAACTTCAAAACGTTCCATACGATTTGTATATACATCTTGAAAATTCACATAATGGAAACTTTGAGGAGTGTAGCTACCATAATTCAGGAACTGAGGATTATTTAAATATTCTCTATACTTAATCGATTCGGTTCGATCCTCTGTTGTCCTCCTAGTTTCTGGATTGGAATCTACAATAGTAAATAATTATATTATTATACACATAATACATAGTTCAGTAATGTGGTGGTTCTGCCTGGAATGTTTTCTAAAGTGTGTACCACAATCACATGAGCATTAGACCTATACACGCGACGAGGAAATTTTTTTTTTCAAAATGCTTATAAAAATGTAGTTTGCCGTGCTCTGGCGCCAAAAGTACTTACATTATAAAAAAGCGGCCCAGACATAAATAGTAGAAAATTTTCAGTTGTTTAATTTTGTGGTCAAAGTCAAAGTATTTATTTCAATTAAACCATAATTTGGTACTTTTGAAACGTCAACAAATACAAAATAAATAATAGTCTGTCAGTCAGTCCGTCAGTGAAGCTAGTTGAAGCTAGGCGCTCATTCCAAAATGTAAATTCGAATGGAGAAGAACGAGCAAGAAACTCCATTCGTTACTCTTTTTAAAAAAGTATGTTCTACAATGTCCCTGATACATATTCCCATACTGTATGTATATGTGAGAACAATGCAAAGACACGCTTGACATGGTTAATAGCTTTCTCGTAAAATGCACAAGAAAAGAGATATTTTAAAAAAATCGTTTTAGCCGCCATGGTGCCGCCATACAAAGGTGTAAAATGGATATCGAATAGAGCACATCAAAATCTACACAATTGACGATTTTCCAAAAATTCCCGGAAACCTTTCCAGGTTACTCCCATATTTATCTCCTTAGTTATCCGACTATAGGGCCAGTAATGCCATGAACAGTGCAAATAAATGTATCTAAGAGTCAGTTCACAACGAGACACTCGTGTTTATTCAGAGACATTCGATTTACAACCTGGGTGTGTCGCAGTATTTTCGTACCTTTACACAATGAACCTTAAGTACATGCTTGTGCATGCTTCAAGGTTGCCCGCAAAAGGACAAGAAAGGGCTCACGAAGTATGCAAAAAAACTAGGCTTAGCGCAAATGAAAATTATGTCTAATTTTTAGACAAACCTTGTAATAAAATACCACATGGTGGCTAAATGTAAAAAAAGTGATATGTTTTAATGGTAAGGTCAACGTTCAAGTACTTCCGAATGTAGTTGAAAAATTATATATATATATATAATATATGTATATAATAAAAAATTATATATATATATATATAATTTTAATTACCATACTAAACATAACATCACGCCTTTTATCCCTGGAGAGGCAGGCAGAGGTGCACATTACGACACTTAATGGCACTGTACCTCTACAATGTAACACCTACTTTTCACTATTTATGTTATGGGTTCCATGTAATAGGGGGTGAGCCAATTGCTATATACCGAGCACAATTCCAGACTCTGTGCTACTACTGAGATTTTTTATAAAACCCAGTAATAGTTTGCCGAGACCCCTTGACATGCACCTCCTATGGCCGTTGCGCACTCACACACGCAAATTGACTCTCTTTCTCTAGCTCTTACTTAGACGTCTTATGTAGCAATGTAGTGCTGCTTATGATGAATACGTACCAATTATAATCAAAGAAAATCATGTGACTTTGCATATTTTCACACACCAAATTTATTAAAAAAATAACCCTTGCCACTAAATAAATAGCATTTTTTTACATTTATCCATCCATTTTGATGATTCTACCTATGTGATGTTTCATTTCACATACGTATCTGGGGGCACGGTAGTGCCCCAGCCAAGTCTCCAGCATAAAGTATATACAAAATAAATGAAAGATAATAATATATTTCGTTTCGCCAATAGGGCTTTTTTAAGGGGGGGAAATCATCGAATGACTGCTCCCGCCTGGGTGAGGCGGAAGGGAGTGTCAGACTCTTACTGACTAAAAACCACCCCGTTCCTTCTCCTGCACGTCGAGCCGGAGCCCCGGTTACCCGTTAGGTTCTCCTCGACTCCGAATCGGCAGCCAATAGGGCTAATGCCGATATAGAGCCGCGGAGGACTTAGGAACAGGGTGGACTGACTACCTCTCGCCTCACCCCAGAGAAGTAATTGAATGATTTTCCCCACTGAAAAAAAGGAGAACCTTAAGGTACCTACTTTATTTTTTTTAATAATAAAAAAACTAAGTACTTACTGTCATCTGATTGATCAACCTCTCTTTTCAGTCTTTGTATTATATTCCTGCAGTTAATTTCTATTATGAGCAATAATAAAATGTAAAGAGCTAATTGGAATCGAAACACACCCCTAACGCTAACACTATATCCAGACATGTTGCGATTTACATGGAATCTTGAGTGTCAATGTGCATTAAAACTAAGATGAAGCCTTTTATTATAGTTTGTTAATGTAATCAGTTAATGTTTGAACAGGTTATTAGTGATAACAGCGATAATGTTGATGATGCCGATTAGTTTCTGTAGATCTGATTAGAGCAAACTACGATTTACCATCAATTAAAGTAGGTACTCTTCTCGTGTGTACCACCAATCAAATAAGAAATTGGAATGTTTTATTTTGTTACATAATTATGTAACTAATATTTGTAACAATACAAATCAAATTTCGTATTCAGATCGTAATAAAAATCTCATTACGCGTCTTCAATCGATTAAGAGAAGTAAACTTAAAATTAATTAAATAAAATCCTACTAATATTATAAATGCGAAAGTTTGTGAGGATGTATGTGTGTGTGTGAGTGTGTGGATGTGTTTGTTACTGGTTCACACAAAACCTACTGATCTGATTTAGATGAAACTTCACAGTAATGTAGGTCATACATCAGAATAACATACAGGCTACAATTTGTAATGACTTTTACTTTTATGTAATTTTGGGCCTAATATAACACAAAATGTTAGCCAAATCGGGTCTCTGAGACCCATATCGGCGTACGCTGCCTAAACCATAGGAGTTACACTAAGTTAATGTACTGTAAGATTGTTTGTCTTGATTAGTTCTAAATAAAAGTCCGCGACGGCATATTTCTACCTTTTACGTGGAAGTCACTATGCCGATTTTTAAGAATATTAATAACGATATAACTGAAAACGGAAAACTGACAGGTAACATTACTATGGTAACCAACCTGGTGATTTGTAATTGTTATGGCGTCCTACTTCCATAATAAATATTGGCATCAACAGACATAAATGAAGTTCTGTGGGTTTTTAAGAACTAATATTAGTATTCAGCTACATCAGGGATCAGGGATTTTAAAGATGAAATACGAATTAGATTGACTGAATACAATTTATTCATAGACTAGCCTCTGCATGCGGCTCCGCTCGAGTTCTTTTGATGGGGTGAGGGAAGGATTTACAATAAAAAATGAAATGATGCACGATTTTATGCTGGTCACAAATAACCCGCATACCAATTTTTAGCTTTCCACATTAAAAATTCCAAAATACCCCATACAAACTTTCACCTCTGTTTCAGGTAAGTGGAAGAGGGTTAGAAAAAGACAAAAAGTAGCCTATGATCCCCTCCATCCTTTCAACTATCTCCAATCAAAAACCTTCCTGACTCCGTTCTGTCGTGAAATATGGATAAACAAACAAACAGGCACACACAAATTTATAATATTGGTATACATTTCTTAAGTCATTTGTGTGACAACTGAGTTTACAAAGTCAATGTGTCATAGTTTTCTTTGATATTGGGATATTAATATTAAGTTATGCAAAGAGATTGACAACAGTCTAAGGAGATAAAACCACGAATAAAATATTTTCAGTTAACTTAAATTCGTATTTTTTATATATCAAAAACTAATTGCACAGAGCTGAAAAATAATATTAGTCCTTTTCATTTTAGACCGTCAAGGCCAAATTCACTTTGATAGTTAACTGTTTTTTTTATGGCTTAAGCCGGTAAACGAGCAGACGGATCACCTGATGGTAAGCAATCTGCGCCGCCCATGGACACCTGTAACACCAGAGGTGCCAAAAGTGAGTTACCGGTCTTTTGGGAATTGGTAATTTGAGGATTGTCAGGGATAGGAGAAAGCTGAGGAGGGGGGGGGGGGTAATTGGGCCTCCGGTATCCTCACTCACACAGCGAAACAACGCAATTTTCCTTTAGGTAACCGAGAGCTGGGCTCGCTGTCATTGCAGCGGTAAGTCCCCTCTTTATAAAGTGGCTTGAGAGACGCTACGGCGTCCTCACCTACCGCCAGATGCAGGTGCTTGTTTTTTTTTTCTCATCTTTCAAACCTTTCCACGAACATTTCAAAATCAAAATCAGCCTAATCGGTTTAGCCGTTCTCGAGTTATAGCGAGACTAACGAACGGAAGTTCGTTTTTATTTATTGTACGATTTTTTTTTATTACAACATGAACAACCACTTTTATTAGCATCTATTCTAGGCATTTTCTGAAGGTACCTGGCACTTAAATGCGCTGATTACGTCAAGCGGTTTTTTGGCATTTACCCATTAATAAATTTTAATAATACAAATAATGTGTGTAGGCGGACTTAATGTCTTATCTTCTGATTTATTTCGTTGCGAGATCCAAGACAGTTATTCATATTCCTGAGACGCGTCGGATTTTTAGTTACCGGTGTTTTTCAGGCTATATTTACTGTAGATCCTGGCTTTCGGGAGTTACGGCAGTTTTGGGCTGTGGCAGGCTTGTCCCGCAAAATAAAGATGCACTGTGAGAATACTTTTGAATTTATAGAATATTTGTTATTATAGAAAAATAACTTCCATTTTACGTTACGTGTGCCAAGCTGCGGACCAAGCTACGTTTTGATACCTATAACATTTATAATCAGTTAACCTATTTTCGCGTTCTCTACTTACACTTAATATGTGTTTTCCACAGACGACACGATTTCCCTTTTGACGCAAAAAGGTTTATAATTTATTTATCGTATAAATAAGCGCCTTTTATCCTTCAGCTGTATTTTTTCAAGTAGCGATAAACTACCCTTGATTGAAGCTCGGAATTGTTTTCATCCAAACGTAATTGCCACGTTGAGCCAAGTATTATTTGGACTAGGTCTTCTTCCGCCTTGGATGAGGCGAAAGAGAAAATCAGACTCTTACTCACTATAAGCCACCCCTTTCCTACTACGGTCTTCAAGCCGGAGCCCCGATAATCCATTGTGTCTTCCGCGGCTCCGTACCAATCGGGCATCAGCCTTACTGACCTCAAATGAATTTGGTCAAAACCATAACCGAATGGGCCAGGAAGGAGCATGCAGTATATTACAATTTTGTATTGCGTGTATAATTATCATTTTTTTAGGTCTATGTTGATTCCTCCACTAATGAAAGCGATGGAGAATACAGACAATAATAAAATTTACGAGAATTACAAGGACACACCTAAACCTATAAGCTTTTCTAAGATTATCATACCACAATATGCTTCAACAAAACTAGGATAAACTGACTGCTAAACAGGCGGAAAAATCATACGAGATCACGATACATTCGTTTTTTTTTATTATTTGGTGATTATTTCATCTAAAATAATTATTAAATTTTGGATATAATTATCTACTACTAGCTGTTACCCGCGACTTCGTCCACGTGAAATAACAACTTCTGTATAAATTGGGTTTTTCAATTAGTCTTTGCCTTTGATAAGCACCTGCATCTGGCGGTAGGTGAGGACGCCGTAGCGTCTCTCAAGCCACTTTATAAAGAGGGGACTTACCGCTGCAATGACAGCGAGCCCAGCTCGGTTACCTAAAGGAAAATTGCGTTGTTTCGCTGTGTGAGTGAGGATACCGGAGGCCCAATTACCCCCCCCCCCCCCCCTCCTCAGCCTCTCCAATCCCTGACAATCTTCAAATTACCAATTCCCAAAAGACCGGTAACTCACTTCTAGCACCTCTGGTGTTTTAGGTGTCCATGGGCGGCGCAGATTGCTTACCATCAGGTGATCCGTCTGCTCGTTTACCGGCTTAAGCCATAAAAAAAACAGCTAACTATCAAAGTGAATTTGGCCTTCACGGTCTAAAATGAAAAGGACTGATATTATTTTTCAGCTCTGTGCAATTAGTTTTTGATATAAAAAAAATACGAATTTAAGTTAACTGAAAATATTTTATTCGTGGTTTTATCTCCTTAGACTGTTGTCAATCTCTTTGCATACCTTAATATTAATATCCCAATATCAAAGAAAACTATGACACATTGACTTTGCAAACTCAGTTGTCACACAAATGACTTAAGAAATGTATACCAATATTATAAATTTGTGTGTGCCTGTTTGTTTGTTTATCCATATTTCACGACAGAACGGAGTCAGGAAGGTTTTTGATTGGAGATAGTTGAAAGGATGGAGGGGATCATAGGCTACTTTTTGTCTTTTTCTAACCCTCTTCCACTTACCTGAAACAGATGTGAAAGTTTGTATGGGGTATTTTGGATTTTTTTATGTGGAAAGCTAAAAATAGGTATGCGTGCATCATTTCATTTTTTATTGTAAATCCTTCCCTCACCCCATCAAAAGAACTCGAGCGGAGCCGCATGCAGAGGCTAGTCTATGAATAAATTGTATTCAGTCAATTTAATTCGTATTTCATCTTTAAAATCCAAGAGGTATGTAAGAATCGTAGTAATTGGCGTTCCTTAGTCTCTGCCTACCCCCATGGGAGACAGGCGTGAAGTTATGTATGTATGTATGTAATCCCTGATCCCTGATGTAGCTGAATACTAATATTAGTCCTTAAAAACCCACAGAACTTCATTTATGTCTGTTGATGCCAATATTTATTATGGAAGTAGGACGCCATAACAATTACAAATCACCAGGTTGGTTACCATAGTAATGTTACCTGTCAGTTATCCGTTTTCAGTTATATCGTAATTAATATTCTTAAAAATCGGCATCGTTACTTCCACGTAAAAGGTAGAAATATGCCGTCGCGGACTTTTATTTAGAACTAATCAAAACAAACAATCTTACAGTACATTAACTTAGTGTAACTCCTATGGTTTTGGCAGCGTACGCCGATATGGGTCTCAGACACCCGATTTGGCTAACATTTTATGTTATATTAGGCCCAAAATTACATAAAGTCATTACAAATTGTAGCCTGTATGTTATTCTGATGTATGACCTACATTACTGTGAAGTTTCATCTAAATCAGATCAGTAGTTTTTGTGTGAACCAGTAACAAACACATCCACACACTCACACACACAAATACATCCTCACAACTTTCGCATTTATATTATTAGTAGGATTTATGTATACTCTACCTTGTCACGTATGATTTATTTTAATCGGTTCTAGGTCTTTGCTCCA